TTATACTATATTTATAGAAATAAATCTGAGCATATACATCTAGAATAAGAACAGAGAAAAGTAGAAAAAAATTAATGAACCCAGGTACACCAGTAAGAATTCTAATTCTGGAGTGGGTGTTTGACCAAGTGGTGAAGACACACTTAGGACATCCCGTATCTGAGTGCCTGGGTTTGAGTCCTAGCCCTGCTTTCAATTCCAACTTCCTGCTAATATTCACTCCAAGAGGCAGCAGATGATGGCTCAAGTACTTGGATTCTGGCCATCCCTGTGGGAGACCAGAGGGAGTTCCAGGCTCCTGGCTTTAGCCTCACCCAGTACTGCTGGTGACTCTCCATTTACAGAATGAACCACGAAATGGAACATCTCTTGATCTCTCTCTCCGACTCTCTCTCTCTCTCTCACTTGCTCTCTCTTTCACTCCCTCTCTCTTTCTCTCCCTTTCAAATAAAAAAAAAAATCTAGTTCCAACTGGAAGCCCAGTTGACACTAAAGGATGTCTTTATTATTCGCTAGGGAATTGCGAATTCTCTTTATTTCTTCATCTTGACCTTCAGGCATTTCTTAGCTCTTCTGAGACTTTGCAGAAAGAATTCCGGAAAGTTTCTTAATACAAGTTAGAGTCTTTCATTACACAATAGAATTAAGCTTTTAACTGCAGATGATCTGATGCTAAAATTCATCTTAAAAGACACACAAATACTGGAGCCTCACTATGCAATAGCAGTGCTGAGTAGAAAGTTCCATGCACTGAGGGAGGAGGATGGTGTGGAAGAGATGTATGCATGAGAAAACTCAGTTCCTGAAACCTGAACACCAGTGAAATTAGTCAGTAGGACGGGGTGGAGAGGCATATATACCCACACATATTGAAAGCAGGATTTCAAACATATATTTGCACACTGATACCGTCTGGATATGGTTCAGAATGGCACTATTGAGGTGTCAGAAACTTTAAGAGGTGGGATCTAGTAGAAGGCGGTTAGATCACTGGAGGCTCCACAATTGAAAGGGATTAATGTAGTTTTCACAGGACCCCAGTGAAGTTCACCACAAGAGCAGGCTGCTACAAAAGAGCAAGCCTGGCCCCTGAATCCCTTGATTCCTGTCTTGGCCATGATTGCTCTGTCTCTGTCCCTCTTTCACCTGTGTTCCCATCATGACACCATTCACTGTGTTGTGATTGAGCCAAAAGGTTTTCACATGAAATCAAACCAATGGGGCCACCCAATTTGGGATTTTCAACCTCCAAAACTAAGAGCAAAGGAAACCTATATCCTTTGTATGTTACCCAGCTGCAGATATTTTGTTATAGCAACCAAAACTAGAGTAATATAAACATCATGTTCATACCAGAATTATGCACAATTCCCCAAAGCTGGAAGCAACGTAAGAGTCTACAAACAGATGGCTGAGTAAATGTATAAATAAAATATGAAATATATGCATCTATATATGTATGGACATGTATATATATTATAAATATATATAGTACTTCAAGAATTTGTGAAAAATTAAAAGACAAGTTTTATTTAAGCACAAAAAAATTTTGAAGTTTGTACATACAAGGGTTCTTCAAAAAGTTCACAGAAAAAAATGCATATAATGAAAAATACGTTTGCACCAAAATAAACTTGTGTTTTAACTCCATTTTCCCACAGAATTTTTGAAGTACCCTTATTTAAATGGTTTTAACCAAGTTAAAACAATTGCTGCCTTTGGGAAGAAAAGAGAGAACAATACTGCATGACTTTGCCTACAACTCCTCCTACTTCTGCCACCAAAGAATTAAGACAAAGGGAAATGATTTTTAACTATTCATGTATAATATTCATGTTAAGAATGCTATTATTGAATTAGAACCCAAAATCCAAGGCAGATTCCATTAAATGTGCATTAAAAAACAGATATGTTTGAAACGTTTGCAGTTGCCAAGTGTGATCTGAGGACCAGCAGCACCAGCATCTGGGAGTTTGTTAGAAATGCACTCTTGGGGCCAGCACTGTGGTGTAAGCACAGTGCCACAATGCCAGCATCCCAAATGGGTGCCGGATCAAATCTTGCCTGCTCGACTCCCAATCTAGCTCCCTGCTGATGTGCCTGGGAAAGCAGTGGAAGATGGCCCGTCTTTGGTCATGTACCCATGCTGGAGACTCAGATGGAGTCTGGGTTCCTGGCTTCAGCCTGGCCCAGCCCTGGCTGTTCAAACAATTTTGGGGAGTGAACCAGCAGATGAAAGATATCTCTCTCTTTCTTTCTCTGTCCCTCCCTTTCTCTGTAACTCTGCCTTTTATATAAATAAAACTTGAAAAGAAGGAAAGAAAAGAAATGTAGACTCTCAATTCCACCAACACAGATAAAATAAGAATCTGCAGTTTATCAAGATTCCCAGGTGATTCAATCATCTACCAAAGTTTGAAAAGCACTGTTGTAACACATTTTTAAGAATTACAAATTACATATACACACAAAATCACTTGATCAGCTGAGATGGAAAGAAAACATGTCATTAAAGTTGCCTTATTGTACTGTGAGTTAAATTAAGAAAAGGTCGATGCTTTACTTTAAGTTCTCAAAAATTATTAAAGCCAAATCTATTTATTTATTGCCTTTAACCCTGAAAAATGTTTAAACTGAACAACATATCTGAATTAATATGTTGTTGACAGTATTACTTGAAAACGTTATCCAGCAGGTTTCATAGAAATGAAGTGTTCTGAAAAGCAGAGACCAATTTCAAAGCTCTGATTAAGTATATGGCGACAGATTTGATAAGTTTGAAATTCCAATAATTCATCATTTCAGCGTAACTAATAAACAATCCTAACAATAAATTTTCTACACAAAGTATTGACCCTCATAAACATCTAACAAGAAAATTCTGGTCACTGGTAATGTGAGAAAAACCAGTACAGCAAACTGAATACACATAATGTTATACTAGAACAGCAAAAAAAGTCCCAATATGTTCACTAAATACAAAGCATAAAAATTCAACATCTCTAAGTATCCAAAATATAAAATGGAATAAGAGAGAGTTCATATTTGGAATAAGAAGGCTTTCCCAGTAGGATCTTTTCAATATGATTTTGTTCTAATGTATCTCTCCTCATTACCTCTCAAGTAGTTTGATTCAGCACTGTTTACAATTAAGACTTGAAACCAAAACTAAACTTGTGATAGAGATATTAAAATCTAGTGACGGTACAGATAAGCAGAAATGACTGGAAGGGAAAAAAGGAATAAGTTTATCTCTGACACCAGGGCTTACTTGGCTAGAAAACATTTTGTCCACTTAATGACATCTTCAACAGTTGTTGGAATCTCTGCCTGCTTTCATTTTGCAAAAGCTCTGGATTTGGCAATCATAAAAATAAATAAAACTGACTCAACAAAATCAAATACTATTTTATAAGTGCAGAGTGAACCCAACCTAAGGTTTGGCTTTTTGTTTTTGAAATTAATGCTAATTTTAGGTAATCATTCAGAGACACCCCCCAGAGGTTTATGTGAACTCATCAATAGCAAAATAATATTTATTCATGTTTTTAAGAGCAAGGAAGAAAGTCTTTAAGCTGCTGACTCATTTGCCACATTCCACATGTCCACCTAATATTCCTGTTACCCAGATGAGAACAGAGCTAGAAATAACACCTCACTCCACAACAGATTAAAGGTGAGATATTTTCAGAAATTCCACTACTGGGTATATACCCAAAAGACTTGCACACAATCTATCAAAGAGATATCTAAACCACCATGTTTATAGCAGCACCGTTCACAACAGCCAAAATCTGGAACGAACCAAGGCATTCATCACCACCAGATGACTGGATAAATAAAATGTGGCATATATTTACAATGGAATATTATTCAGCCATAAAAATTAATGAAATTCTACCATTTGCAGCAAAATGGATATAACTGGAGGACATCATGTTTAGTGAAATAAGCCAGACCCAAAAAGACAAATACCACATAATCACCCTTAGATGTGGGAGCTAAAATTTAAACAACAAAGAAATGTGTGTACCAGTATTGCTGCAAATAGTTTTATAAAGCTTTACTGTATACTTTTGTCAAACCAGGTCAAACCAGTGCTTAAGAATGTTATACTAAGGCCGGCGCTGTGTCACAGCAGGTTAACGCCCTGGCCTGAAGCACCAGCATCCCATATGGGTGCCATTTCTAATCCCGGCTGCTCTGCTTCCAATCCAGCTCTCTGCTATGGCCTAGGAAAGCAGTAGAAGATGGCCCAAGTCCTTGGGCCCCTGCACCCATGTGGGAGACTGGAAGCAGCTCATGGCTCCTGGCTTTGGATCGGCACAGCTCCAGCCATTGAAGCCATCTGTGGAGTGAACCACTGGATGGAAGACCTCTCTCTCTCTCTGCCTATCCTCTCTCCATGTAATTCTGACTTTCAAATAAATAGATAAATCTTAAAAAAATGTTATACTACTATAGTTTTAATGATTTATGGTTACTTTAAAATTTACTGTAAGTGGGTGAAATGGTCATTTTTCCATTCAATTATTGTTTATAGATGCCACTAAACTAGGGTCTTTCTGCTCTTTACTAATTAAAATTCTTATTCACTAAAGTATTAGGCTTTTTTACTATAATTTAATTTTAAAATGTTATCTCAAAAACATAAAAAAGAGGGGAAGGAGAAGGAAAGAGGGTAGGGAAGAAGGGAGAGAGGAGAAAAGTAATATCATTATGTTTTTAGAATTGTATCTATAAATCACATTGAATCTGTTAAAAACTAAAATTGAAATTAAAATAACAAAGAGGTGATTTATTTGACTCTTGGTTCTCTATTGAGGTGACTATGACTTATTAGGACTGGATTTGGGGTACACAGGTGAGGTCTTAAGGGATGAATAACTTCACAAATATCTTAACTCATTCTGTCAGTCAGATGGAACAACAGTTAACAGTTTGTTAAGCAAAACAAGAGTGACAAAGAACGTAAAACAGGTATAACAGATATCTTGTACCTTTCGTAAAAGTTGTAAGAATCAAGGAGCTGGGATAAACATCTGCAGGTTTCAGCAACTGTAAGTCAAAACAATTTGAATGGTAAATGTTTTTATCTCGGAAGAAAGCTACACTGAAAGGTTTTACTCTGCTGCAAATGTGGGAGCCAAAAAGCTAGATACTCAGGGACCGCCTGCGAGCTGTGACTGGGTCTGCATCTAAATGCCTACTGCCACCAGTCCTGTGAAAACAGTGGACAAGAGCTGGGAGCACAATCGGGGCAGAACTGACCACACCTTACAAGGGAATCTGCTTTGTTGGTCCCAGTAAGCTAAAACTCTAGAATATCCAAAAGAATTATTAATGGTCAAAGGAATGCTTCGATCTCCAGATAGAAGATCTGAGCCCCCCACACATACACTGCCACCTCTCACCATTATCCAAATACTACACTTGACTTCCTTTCAAATTAATTCAACTTCGTCCGGTCATGAAATTAAGACTCAGTAAACATGCAAATAGCTCTATGTTCTTCTTAAAGCTATTTTTTGCCTTAGTCTTGAACAGCTAAATTTATATGCTTTCCAAAGTACAAAACATAAACATCATAAGTGGTCTCCTGTGGTCCCCAGGGACAAGTAAGAGCACCTGAAAGTGCACAGAATCACAGAAAAATAAAGAACATACTCCATAGACAGTAGCTTTTTCATTTAGACAGACAGCTGTTTGCTTCAGCAAAATCTAGGTCCTTTAGAAGACAGTGTCAACTTTATTGCTTTTTGAAATGCTATGTAAAACATAGAACTTTACAATCTGTACATTAGGCAATTTTCATCTTTAAGTTTAAATATATTTACTGGTAAGAAAAAGTACATGCATAGGAATATACAGAATTTCTAGAAATCATCATCATTTACATTAGAAATTTCTTTATACAAACATCTTCACTTTTAAAAAACATTAACAAATAGCAAGAACCCTCTGAGACTACAGAAAATCCAGCTTTCCAGTTAGCAGCTTTCATTGAGAGACATGAGTGATGGCAGATGAAGGCCTCTTAAGAATAGACTCAACAGAAAACGACAGCGGCTCATTTACTGCGAGTTTTGTTCCAACTTGTTTGGCTACAAAAAGGTCTTTGGCACATCTATCTATTGTAAATGTGTACTTCTGGTTTTCCTTGACTAAACATTCTCTGTGTTTCTTTGGGGTCTCTTCAAAGGCCTCTTTGACAAATGGGGTTTTCAACTCGGGGCCTGATTTGTCATGAAGCGTTTGCTGGAACAACGAGTGGAATGGATTATGTTTAAGTGGCAGAGGGTGCCTGCTGTTTTCTTTGCTGATCTTGGTTAAGACGTGCCCTTGAGCAGCCAGGGAGTCCGTGTCAACAATTGGAGAGAAATTCCGCTGGGGTGGGGAGAATGCAGACCTATCGGGGACAGCCTGGTGAGCCTGAAGGTCACTTCTGGAGGTCTGGACCTCGGGCATGTGAGGCAGCACCAGGGAACCTCCCAGTTTCATCGGCATCACGTCATGGTCTGCACCGTGTTCATCCGGGACTCGTGTCCCCTTGAAGTCCCAGCTGGTCCCAGGTTTCAGGGCTTGCACTGAGGTGGTAGCATTTAGGAGGCATTGTTGGTAGAGGAGGGTGTCACTAATGGGGCCACACTTGGGCCACACTAAAAACCTTGAAGACAAGGGATACTGTCTGTAAGTTGTGGCCACACTTACATTAGAAGAAATTAGTTCCATATTCCCAGACCCTGAATACTGCATGGTTAGATCAAGGCAGGTGGGCAAAAAACTGCAGAAGTCTTTGCTTGCTGGTTCCACCGGGGTGGGGCTATAAGGACTCTTGTAGGAGTTGTAGTCAGGTCCAGGCACCATGCGGTTAGGCAGGAACAAAGCAGCAGCTTGGGAGGTTTCCAACATTTCCCTCTCTTTATATTCTCTCTCCAGCATAATGTTCTCCAACTCTTTATCAGCAAAGGCCCTTCTTTTCCTCATCCTGTCACTAACTGGGGGAGGCAGAGGTAAAGTTCCTCCTAGGTAAGTCTCCGCGGGAATGGGACGATAGCCTAAAATGAGCACACATGGCACAGGAAAGAGATTAACATCTAGGGAAGAAAGATCCCAAAGCCAGCAGGCAACAGAAACACTACAAATGTGCAGAGCAACGATTTTCAGTTCTATATTATGAATATTTTTATACAGAAAGCAAAAGTATAGGCACAATTTTAAATATTTCCCTTTGGAAGGAAGAATATCCATATTTTAACTTTGTCATTGTTGTTTTTGTTGCTAGAGGTTTGTTTGCTTGCCTGCTTTGATGAGGGTATTTTATTGATTGAAATTTTAATATTTTAATGTTCTTCCCCGGCCCCTGTACAATAAGGCTGTTCATGTAGTTTCAATCAATGTTTCATTATCCAAGTCATCTTTTCATTATTAAAAAAAAGATATCTATACCTAGATCTGATGTCACTTATTTTCTAAAGATGGCTCATTATGTACACATTGCTACAGTTGTAGAATAATCCAAGGAGAACTAGGAAAAAAAGAGAAAGAGAGTTAAAGAAAACTGGCAAGGAGGAAAAGAAAAAGATTAAGGAAACAGAGAAGCATAGAAAATTGAAAAGAGATGTTAACTAGTCAGTCACACTCTGCAGTGAGCAATTTAACCAGGCCCTTCCCTGGCTACTGCTACAAATAAAACAAAGAGAGGTGATATTCCCTACATACTGAAAATAATCAGTCCAAAACATCTTTCTCAAGCTCTAATCAGGTTGGCCAGATGCCAATATGGTTGAACAGCTATCGTTAGAACATAGATTAAGTCATTGCACTTTTCATGACTAGAGACAAAATCAAAAGCAAAGACTAGTGTAACCTAAATAGAATTCCTGATGGCATGAAATACTTTGAGTATTTCATCACACCCAAGCACTCACCACTATCAATGTTTGAAGGATCCATTATATTTGTGCTTATATAGTGACAAACCCATCATACTCATTTGCAAATAAAATAAAATGTGAAAACTAACATTTCTATTTCTACTGTAAGTTTTTGCCAGGAAGTTATTTACTTAAATTTATTATTTCATTTAGTATTTGTATTTCTCAAGATGCTTTGGCACAATTTCAATTTATCAATGTGGCCCCTACGGCTATAAATCTGTTTACCAGTTCATAACCAACTTAATTTTTAATTCATGAGAAACAACTGTGGAGTTAGAAGTACATACACAGTACAGGGTGAGACAGGAATAAACCTTAAAACCTTCCCAGAACCAACCAAATAAATTAAAAGTCACAAAAGAAAAAACAAATTCAAATGTCTAACTTAAAAAAAATGCACTTTTCAATCTGAATTTCACTAAATGGCAATGATTAAAGCAACCATAAATTTTATTTAATCGTAAGAAAAATTTTAAAGACAACAATAAAAGGTAGTCAATATATTATCTAGCAAGACAATACATAAATCCCATTCCTAAATAGAGATGCTTTTAAGAGTTAGTAATATTTTAAGGAAAATTAATGTATTACCAGGCTTCACAGAAAGTGGACTGAGACTTCACAGCGCTCAGATTTAATCTACACTTCTCTTGATTGATTTAAAACCTTTTTTAGGCTTCTGCAACCTCGATAGTCAAAAATGGTGAAATGAAATGTGGAACAAGAGCAATCATCTAGATAATGCAGGAAGGAAAACAGTACAATGAAACAGAATGGGGTCTGAGGTTGAACACTCAGTTAAGAGGTCTTTATTGGCCAAGAGCAGCTGTTAAATTCCTCATTTAACTCTACTCATTTAGCTCCTGCCAACGACTAAGGAAAGCATATGTGGTTTTTTGTTATTGTTGTCCTTTTTTATTTCTTTCCTTCTGTCCAGGACATCTGCTCCCGGCTCACTTGGCAGTGTATGTTAGTTACTGGGGCAAATTTCACATCACTTCATGCTGACGGGTTAACTGTGAGGCCACAGAATCATCAAGATTCTCAAAGTGACGGTGACAAAAACCTTGGCAGGTGTTTGAGCCCTATTTTCTCTGGTCTTGACCTCCTTTGAAGAGGAGGGCGCTAATAAAGAGTGTGGAAGCCTCAGACGGTTTCTTCACAGGTTAACAGAAACGCCATGTGGCTAAACGAGAACTGCAGTTCAACTCAGCCAAACCAACCAAAGGATCGATTTTGCGTCGCGTTACCTTCCAAAATGCTTTTGGCCAACAAGCTGGGCGCCCTGACTTGCCTCTGGTACACGGCCTTGCGCTCGAAATTATTCTGTTTCCCAGAAAGCCCCTTTTTGTCCTGGAAACATAAGAAACACAATCAGTGAGAGAAAACAAGACAAGAGAGGCGTCGGAAGATCGTCTGAAACCACTCCCCTGTTTGAATGTACTGATTTTCCCCATGCCTGGTGAAAACTGACGCCAAATGAGGTAATGTCACCCCTTCGTCTCTGGGCGGCAAGCTGCAGGGCCCTCCTCCATCTGCCCCTGGCCTCTGCCCAGACTCGCCCACAGAGGGTCTGGGACCAGAAGCAAGGCGACACCTGGAGCGAAGAGGACTGCGGCCCTCAGTTTTGGCCCGGGAGTTCACGCGTTGGGCGGAAGGAGCCCAGATCCTATCGGACGGCGACCGTAGGCAGGGGTCCCCTGCAATTGGTCAGAGGGCTGGCCTGCTGGCCAGCGAGGGCACAATCATAAGGGTCTCTGGGTGCGGCTGCAAACTGCACATTGTTCCTGGTACAAGGCTTTTGGAGACCACCAGGCACGCCGGACAAAGGGATCCCTGGCTGTCACCACCTGGCTGAGCGGATTCTCCATCCAACCCAGCGGGTTGCCGAAACGGCAGCAGACGCAGGGCGCGGGACTGCCCAGGAGCCTGAGGCCCTCTGGCTCTCAAGGCTTTCCGTGCGGGTCCTTCAGCCTGTGTGGCGATCCCTTCCGCTCGCCCTGAGTCTGGGAGGAGGCCCCGAGAAGCCTCTCGGCGGTCGACGCGCAGGGGAGCACGGGGAAGGACAAGAAAAAGCCATCTCCTCCAGGAAACCCGCACAGTGGGAGGCCGCGGCGCGAAGCCGCAGACAGCTCGCCCGCCAGCGCCACTCGGGCCGTCCGCGCGCATCGCGCGACCTCGGGCTGAGGGCACCTCGCTGCGCACGCACTCTTGACCCATCCTTAGAATGGACAGCACGTGCTGCCCATCCCCAACGGCCCGGTGCCCAGGGCAGCACCGAGGGCACCGTGCGCGCCTCAGTACTGCTGGACGCCCGGGGAACCGGACCAAGCCGTCTCTTCCACCAGCCCCCCAGCATCACCAATATAAACTTAAGGATTAAAAAATAAATAAATAAAAATAAAACGACGTTCTCGACACGTCCCAAACGCGCCTGCCCACTTTCAAGACCTGCTTAACACAAAAGATTTCTCTGCCGAATTCCGCCCCCTCCGCGACGCCCGCGGCTTTCTCCCTCCCGACCCCGCAGGCCCGTGAGGGCCGGGAAGCGTCCTCGCCGCCCTTCCTGGGACGTACTCTGCGCCGCCAGGCCCGCTCCCCGCCGGCTCCCCGGGTACGCACCTCGGTGGCCTGCTGCCTCCGGAGCGCCACCTGGGCGGCCATGACACGCTGCCGCTCCACCACCAGCAGGCAGTTGGCGCACTGGCAGTCGCGCCAGCGGCAGAAGCGCTTGTGGCCCTTGAGGCACGACACCACGCCGTGGTTGCGGCAGCGCGCGCACTTGGGCGTGCGGCTCAGCTTGCGCGGCTCCGCGACGCCCCCCGCGTTCGCGGCGCGCTCCGAGGCCCCGGCTGCGGCGGGCAAGGCCGGCGGCGCCGGCGCAGGCCTGGGCAGCTGTCTTCCCTGCGACTCCGGCCGGCCCGGCACCTCCTGCGGCGTGCCCGCCTCCTCGCCATAGCCCTCTTCCTCCGCGTCTTCCTCCGCGTCGTCTTCCTCTTCGTCGTCCTCGCCGTCGGCCGGCGGCGGGCTGGGTCCGGGCGGCGTGGACGGAGGCCCCCCGCAGCCGTCCTCCTCCAGCTCCAGGCTCTCCACGTCGATCTCCCAGTCTCCAGCGGCCGGGCCTGCCTGTCGGTCGGCCATAGTGCGCAATGCCTGGCTCCGGCTCGCGATCTAGGACCGCAGTCTAGAGAGACACAGAGACCCAAAGATCCATCGGCCGCCGTCAGGAACCGTCACCGAGCCTCGGGCCCCAGAGCTTCTGGCCTGCTTGCCTCCACCCTGGAGTTACCCTTTATTCTCTCCATGCCCCTTATGTCCAGACCACACGTGCCCAGGGATCCAAACTCAACAAGGATTATTATTATTATTGGTGTTTTGTGAGCACCTGACCTTTAACAGAGCCCCGTGTGACTCTACCCAGGTTTATTGTACAAGTTCCTAGATAAATCATGAGCACACACGCAAAATTCTTGTGTTCAACTAGGCTGACCTAGGACACTTGTCAGCCTTCTCCACAGCCGTCTTAAACGGCCGTGAAGAATATGCGATGTCAATGAAATCATTATTCCTCATTACAACACAGTACCTCCCAAGGCCCCTCATCCACCTACACACCACCAGGACCTTCCTTGGAACTCTCCCCTAATCTCCCCAAAATCCACTGGTAACCAAAGTTCCACTGTCATCAGCGCCCCACGGGACGCTAGCCACAAAGCTGCAGATGCCAGCCTAGCATCAACAGCACTTGGACGCACAGGGCTGCGCCGCACGGGACCTACGACTGACATCTTCTTGAAGTATCAAAGCCTAACAACCGGCAAGGAAAGGTGGCTCCTGCCCTTGACCCTCCCGGAGACCCCAGTAGGCATCACAACACTCACCAAGACTTTGCAGCCCCGGCGAGCAGCCGCGTCAAAGGATATCCAGCTTTGGGATCTGGCTGTCAGGCTGCTAGCAGCAAAGGCAAACGGAAACCCAGTTCGCCACTCCGGTCACGAAATTGGGGGCGGGCAGCTGTACAGGGGACTTAAGGGGTGAGAAGGGCGGGGAGTAGGCGACTTAAGTTCTCAGTGACCTAGCCCCACACACATCCCGAGCTCTTCAAAGGTGAAACTGGTCCTCTGCAGCCTCGCGTGCTTCTGAGGTCACTTTCGGCTTCCTCTGACCCAAGCCGGGCCGGGAAGGTGCCGGGCCTAGCTCAGATGACCGGCTCCTAGGGCAGGCGGGCGGGCGGGAGCGGCTGCGTGCAGCGCAGTGCCACTCGCCGCAGTCTCCAGCCGCCGCCGCGCCCCTCCCTAGTATTATCCGCTCGGGCCTCCGAGCTCCGTGCCCTCTGATTGGATGGTCGTCAGGCGGTGTGCACGCCTATTGGCCGACGCGCGCCGGCCGGCCGCCCTCCGCCTCCCCGCGATCGATCCACGCGCTCCTCCCCGCCGCGCTCTGCCAGAGTCCGCCCGCTGGGCCTTCGCTACAACCGGGTCTCCCGTGCCGAAGCTAACCCCGAAGAGTGAGGCGCCTGCTGCGGGTTGAAGAGTCGCCTACCTCGCGGAGACACACTCTTAGAAATCGCGCTGTCCACAGCAGAAGGTAATTAAAAGTGAGGCAGAGATCAGAAAGGCTATCGTTGGTCCCTTGAAATCAGCACCAACAGTGTTTCTGCGACCCAATCATTAACCCAGAGTTGAGCGCGGACAGGAGGCCTCTGATGGGCGCGCCGTAGCTCCTTCCTTTCTCCTGTTTATAGAGTAACTCGGTCGTTACCTTGCATCTCTGCGTTCAGCCTACAAACGACCTGTGGCTGTGTGTGTGCGGCTAGTTCCGTTCATCCCTGAAGCGCAAACTGGTTCCTCTTTAACTTTCATCGGATTCGTGAGGAAGGTGGCCAAATCAACCACCAGTCACATTATTATTTTTTTTCTACATCAATCAACGGCTGGTTCAGTTCATTTTCGGAAGAAAGGAAATGCACGCCATTAAGAGACTTATGTATATTATATTTGCTCTAAGACTACATGTGAACAAGATTTTTTTTTCTTAAAAAAAGATTGCTTTTAGCGTGCACGAATATATTTATAAACAAAGTGACCCTTCAAGCGTCTCCCTCAAAAATCCTTCATGAAAACATTCAAAACAAAGTTCCATTTCCAACATACTGAAAAAAGGAATTCGTTTTCGCGTTTCAGTGCTGCCTTCTCTTTCTTGAACTAAATTTACAATCACATAGACGCTGGCATAGTTGCAGTTTTAAGTACCCACGGCCCCTCGCGTAGGGTGGGTTTAAGAGACAGATTAGGAAGTTGCACATGGCTGCACCGCGCACACAGTGGTCCCGCTGTACCTGTCTGCTGGAGGAAGGGAACTGCTGCCGTGGTTCTCACGTTGCTTCTCTTTGAGCCCGTGAAAAGGTGAAAAGTTAACGATGCTCCGGAAAACAGGGACAAAGGCGATTGAGGAGGAATGACCGAGAGACGAAGGCAGCCGCGTGGGGAAGTTCTCCCCCTGGGGCCCCGGCACTGGATTGCCATCCTTAGGAGTGCTCCTTCAGGACGGCTTGCAGTGCCCACCGAAGCTAATTCCCTTGGGCTCCTCAGTGTCTCTGGGCGTCTTGGAAGAGGTGCTGGCTGGGACACGGGAGTAAGGGCCACACGGCCCGTGGGTGTCTCCCCCTTAGCACCACCAAATAACACGCTTCAGCTTTTGCATTTTCCTCCACTCATCAATGTGCTTTGTATTCACGCACGTTGGAGAGCTCGAATTCTTGACCAAAGCAGAAATGTGTTCTCCTCCCGAAATCTTCAGAGATCCAGAGGGGAGCCTGGGGTCTCGCAGTAGTCCGGAGGGGAGCAGTTAACTGGCCAGCACCACAGTCCTAACTCGGCCTCTGTGGGTATGCGGATTAATTGTACTAGGCTAGCATCCTTTCTGACGATAGTACCCGTCCTTAGGCGCAGGCTTCCTGGAACAAGACTCAGCACGTTTTTATCAATCATTCTGGTTTTTCCTAGCGTCTCCCCCTGCTAAGCCACACTTCTGCCTTTACAAACCGGCGTTTGGGTGCCTCTGCCGCGCACCATGCATGCGCGGGCCGTGAGCGCACGGCGCTGGGCAGGCTGTTCTGTTATTTTATTTATGGCTTATACCGCCGGGCGTGGGGTAAGGAGTTCAAGTCATTAGCGCTTCACCAGCGATTTTTAAATATTAAGGAATCAAATCAAGACAGCGAGTTTGCTAGCTCCGAGTAACTAAGACGGAGGGGAAAGCGGGCCCGGGGGAGGGGACGGAGCAGGAGAGGAAAACGGGTGTGAACGGCCGAATCTCCTAAACTGAAAGTAAACCAGGAGCCCACACGCCCTGGAACTAGTTTGAGCTTCGAAGACTACTATAAAAAGAAGGAAACAAGTGGGGTTTGTGTACAGTAAACCACGCCGGCTGAAGCAAGACCTGAGGTTGGACTGGACCGAGAGGACCAGGCCTTCCCAAAGTTCCGATGGAAAGGGGCGGGCCTTCCTCCAGAGCGCGTCTTCGGGCCCGGAGGTGGGGAGGGCGGCGCCCCAGGGCTTCCCAGGAGTTCAGGGCCCAGAATTCGCCGTCCTGCATTTCCCCAGCCCTGGCAAGCCGCGCGAAACAACCCCACAGCGCCCTCCGTCCACTTGCCCCCTTCCCGCACCCCATCTGCAGCTGCAGTCAGGATCCAGCTGAACTGTACTCCAGCCCGCTGCCCTGAAGGCCCCCAGGGAACCTCGAGGCCAGCAACCTCTGGGACGATAAGGGAGTGGAGGTCCTCCCGAGACCTCCGAAATTGATCGAGAAATTATGTGTATTTTTCTGGGGTGGGGGCAGCAGGGATGATCCTAGCTTTTGATCGAATTGTGAAACGAATTCACGGTTGCCCAAACTGCTCAGTAAACTAAATATTCAGGAAATAGGGGCCAAAGAACCTGGGTTCAAATTGATCGTTCCACGGAGTACGTGTCTTTGGTCAGTTGTTTTCGGGCGCCCGGGATGCTTCATCTGCAAAATGGGGAGACCAGCCACGACTTGACCCAGCTCGTTGTGAAGACTCAATAATCGCGACACTAGGACGTCTTCGCATACTAGAAGCTCCGATTAAGTCCTGAGTCCGCTCCGGAGAGGGTGCTACTTCTTGCAGCCCAGGGAGGCCCCTGCCCGCTAGACGGACAGGCGAAGGCGCAGGGAATCCTGCTCTCCGCAGGTCCTTCTCTTAAAAGGGATCTGGTGGGACTGAAGACTTCGGAGGTGGGGAAACAGAGAAGTTCTTTTGACTTGTAAACCGACACCAAATTGCAAGGTACCATTCCGAGTCCCTCTTGCAAATTACAAAGCAGCGGGGGCCCCCGCAGAGGACTCAGCCCCGGGGAGCTCGGTGAGGGCGGCCGGCAGGGTGTGCTTCTCTCCTAGCTGGCCGCTGAGCGTAGTGTGGGCGGGTTCACCCTCTGCCTCCCTCTCTCTCTCCTAAATGTCTCTCATCCTGCACCCTTTCCCGTTAGGGCACCGCGCAGACCCACGCAGTGGGAAGCCTTCCTTTAGCCAAATTAAAAAAGGGAACCCCAACAGAATGATTCTTTTTCTTTTCTTGCTAAGGGTTTTCCTCTCTCTCTCTCTCTCTCTCTCTCTCTCTCTACCCCTCTAAAAATAAAGGAGGGAAACCTGTTTCAAGTAGGCTCCTGCTCATCAATCCAATTCCTCGCGACAATCCCACCTGGCTGGCAGCTTGGCCATGCAACAGGCTTGGATCCTTCCCGCGCAACTGTCTGGGTGCCCCGCGGCACCCCGCGCCTTTAAGCCCCGTCGCCCAGCGCGGATTCTGTAAGCTGCACTTCAACTGGAATCGGAGCTCCGCGTCCCAGAGTTCGACCCGCTTGATACAGTGCGGGATTTGCCATGCCTCGTCCGGAAAACGTCGAGCAGGGTCCTTAATCATCCTTTGTGCCTCACTAGCCTCAACTGCAAAGAGAATTTAACCTCAAAAACAATGACCCCTTGGAGCCCTGGCCCGCGCGTAGGGAGCTTTCAGTACCAGAGAGTTATTGTAGTATTTCTATTATCGCGCTTTTATTTTTATAGCAGCCTTTATTGAGATATTATCCACACATCATGCTTATTCCCTCCCTTAAAAATGCACAGGGAAGCGGTGAGCATCGTTGGTCCCAGTGCCTGCTCACAGCCTCGGCTCTGCTTCCTATTTCAGCTTCCTGCTGATGCGCACTGTTGGAGGCAGCAATAGTGGTAATGCACTTGGTAATGGTCCAAGTGCTTGGGCCCCTGCCACCCACGTGGGAGACCCTGATGATGTTCCTGGCTCCTGATTTCGGCCTGGCCCAGCCCTGGCTGATGTGGACTTTTGGAGGCGTGGATCTGTTGGTGGAAGGTCGCTCTCCTCTCTCTCTCCCTCAACGTGTGTGCCTTTCACGTGTTTGTTTAAAAAAGACAAAGTGTACAAGTCAGTGTCCCTAAATTACATGTGCCCCATTTCGGGACAAACTATGAAGCACTCCTGCTTTCAGATACTATTGCCGAGCTGCCAGGAGCTTGGAACATTCCATTTCCCATTGTTGCCATTCTAACTCCCGCCATCTGGCTGCGGGGAGCTCGGAGCGGGAGAAATTGGAGGCCCGATTTCCTCCCAGCCCCGCCGCACTTCCAGCTCCTGGGGCCTGGAGATGAGGAAGGGGGGCCGCGAGGAGCTGCGCCCGCTGCCGCCTGCCCGCCCCTCCCCCCCACCCCTGCGCCGCCTCACCACCTGCCGAGAGCGCGCAGGCGGCAGGTAAGGCGCTTCTCCCTTGACCGCTACGCTCTGATTCCTCCAGAGATGACCCCGGGTACACCTCCTCTGCAGAAAGCTACTCTCAGCGTTGTACCGCCTCGCGACTCTGACTCGCGGTGGACGCGGCGAAATAAATAATCCCAGATGGGACTACCGAGAGATGATTTCCCAATGTACTTTGCGTAATCAAATATACGACCTGTCACAAGCCACAGGGGCGGTGCGGAGGAGAGCTCGCGGGGGATGGCTGCTGTCCTCCGTGCTCAGAGAAGACTCCCTGGCCGGCTTCGCGTGTCCAAGACGCTGGGAGAAAAAAGGATGAGGCGGGTTGGGTCTCTCTCCGACGGAGGCAGGGCTGAAGTTATGGCTGTTTAGGACCGGAAGGGATCCTGGTAGTCCACGCTCCGTGGTTTACAAGCGGAAAGGGAAAATGTGGGAGCACACGGCAACTAAGTGGGCTGCGCCGTCCCAGGAGTCCACAGCAACCTCCCCTGCAGGGCGGTGCCTCCGTTCAGTTTTGCCCACTGTGCCCATTGCGGCGGGCCGCGCGGTCAGATGCAGGGAGTGCAGAGCGACCACCCGCCCAGAGCTTTCTGGAGACCCTGCCAGCTTGCGGGCCCATCCTCCGCGCTGGGGAACGCGGGTCAGTTCGCTTGGGGGTCATGGGGCAGCCAGGAGATGAGGCAACCGCAGACTTCCTTAACCTCTCAGTAGCCGTTCCAAGAGGTCCTCGGGGGAGGTGCTATCAGGACCTGGGTTCCACCGCAGGGGCGGTGGTCTTGTTCCAGAAGGCAGTGGTGAGAGGGCTACTGTCTTGGTGAGGCACCCGGGGATGCGCTGGGCACCGCAGCCCCCTCAGGACTAACTGAAGAGAGAAGGTCATAACCCTGAGAACTTTCCACCCCTGCTCCTATCCCAGGTCATCGTGTAACAATTCGAGGGGGGGGGGGCCAGATCTGACCCATTCTCAAATCACTCTCCGTATTTTCCCAACAGTCCAGCCACCAGGTGGGAACCAGGAAAGGGAGAGGGAAGCCAGGTGTTGCTGGGCAGGTACTGTGGTGGCAATTTAACCCCTTCCCTGAATCAGCCACTGAGCACACCACTCCACCTTCTTGGGCCAGGGTGTTAACCCGCTACGCCACAACGCCAGCCCCAAGATCCAGTAATTTCTAAGTTCTCTGCCCAATACTAACATCTGTAATAAATGCTGCCTTCATGCCCTGGCCTGAAGTTGCGGCATCCCATATGGGCGCCGGTTCTAGTTCCGGCTGCTCCTCCTACGATCCAGCTCTCTGCTATGGCCTGGGATAGCAACAGAGGATGGCCCAAGTCCTCGGGCCCCTGCACCTACGTGGGAGACCTGGAAGAGGCTCCTGACTTCGGATAGGCTCAGCTCCGGCTGTTGCGGCCATCTGGGGAGTGAACCAACAGATGGAAGACCTCTCTCTCTGTCTCTACCTCTCTGTAACTCTTTCAAATAAAAAAAATTATTTAAAAAAATGCTGTTTTCTCTATAATGGGCTGCATGTTCAGGTAACAAGACCCAGGGCACGAAGAAAGTCCAGGGACACAGGGAGGACGAAAAAAGGAGGCAGATGGGACAAAAAAGGCAATTTCTGCCACTTTGGTGACATTTCTGCTTCTCTGTAGTTCTGCCATTGACCCTATCCCATCGGAAGCCCAGTGAACAATGTGAAAAACACACCAGATCTGCCTACCAGTGAAAACATGGAGCTCTTCACAAAAGATTCAGCAAAGATTCCTTCAAGTAACAGGGTGGGTACCCACGCATCTCAAAGCTTCCACTACCCTATTGCTTCTAGATTAGGCCTGTTCCAGCTGGATTTTAAGCAAAACATCACCAGGTCTATTCAACAGGCCTCTTGAGCCCTGTCCTATGTGATGCTCATACTGGGGCCTGAGTTTGGGCTTCGATTTGGGCCAAAATATTTCCTTTGTTGTTAGCTGCAGGAAGTGGGCCTATTAGGCTCTCTGAAAAAAAAAAAAAAATTCTAGAAACATCCCTGTGCTGAAGGCGTACCCCAGCCTTGGGGAAGAGAGCTGCAGAACAGATGCTTCACGGTGTCTGTCCCAATGGCGTGGAGTGGAAGGGAGTGTGTAGGGGCTCGCCCTGTGTTTGGCTGTCTTTGGATAGCAGGGACTGTCCAGAATGTGAAATTCCAGGGACTAAACTGTGAGCCTGTGTCTTGCAGCCAGTTGGAAGAACACAGACACCTTTATGGAGTTCTGGATCTGTGAAGGGCAGGATTCTGTCCAGTGGTGAAATGAGCAGCAAAGGCAGTGAGATCCTCAAGGGGTCCTGCTCTTCTATTCTTGGGTTTCCCAACAAAAGTAACCCTTCACCTGGGGGCAGTTCCCCTGCTATCTCCCCCTTAAGCTTCTGCGAAATGAAGGAACTGAAGTGGAGCCTATTTCTAGGTGGGATGAGAAAATGGAAAAGGCTTGCAGGCTGGCATTTCCCCAGGGTTGTGTGGGGGAAGACAGAGGGGACAAGCAGGGACCAGCTGGGGCTGGAGCTCCTTAGATCCAGTCTCTATGTAAACTTGATTGTCAAGAGGAAATCGCTTTGAAAACGCTGACCCCAGAGCGCAGGCGGGTTTTCCAAAGGAGGGAGATGTGCAGTTGGGAGAGGGCGGGCAAGGGGACATGTCACTTGTTTCACACTGATTTAACGCGGCTAGAGTGCAGGTGCAAGAAATACCCGGCCCCTGTTCCTCCCAGCCACCAAGACCCCCTGAGCCCTGCACCCCTGCCCCTTCTTTCGCAGAAAATTTATTGACGAGGTGAAGCCAGGCTAACAAA